GTCACTACTTTTCACTAGAATTCGAGGAAATACCTCTTGGAGACCGTCATTAGTGAGCATATGTTGATGAATATAATCGTGATCCAGCTTCAATTGACTCATGATCTCAACTATTAAAAAAGGATCGATATTTGTACATAAGAATATGAAGTTAGTTTAATCATGAAATTATATTTTACATCACTGATTGACTTTAGTTAGACGACGTTGAATAGTTTTGTTTCATTCTACTGTGAAACTCCTTGTTCGTGTATATACACTACTTCTCAATAAACTCAATTCACAATATCCAAGTCTCATGACAATAGTGTTTAACCTACAGACCACTGAGTTGATATCTAGTTGTTCACATGTCTAAATCAATCAATTCAATGTATTATACGATCATTATTTAATAAGAATGATGATAATTGTCTCGTCTTTGACATAGTTGAACTCCTCTAATCAGAACCACATAATTGAATTACAGGGGATTCGCTTTCAAAGTTACTAATAAACATATAATGAATGTTTAGTATATTGGTTTGTTCAGGTTACTAAATTCATCAATAGTTTATACATGGGAATGTGAATTTAGAATTTAGTGAACCTTGACAGGATACAACTAGTTTAGTGTCTGACGAATATTCGAAAAAAAACCTGTATATTCAGATCGTAAACTATAGTCTCCCATTAACAAACATAAAGTATGACGTGTTTTTTTAACATATGAACAAGCGTTGAAGTAAGGGGGGTGTAAGGAGTAGTAGTTCCACAGATTATGTCACTAGTTGATCATATTTAGAACACCATAGAAACGCAAAGTGCACTGAATAGCTATTTAATTTTTGCGATTTCTCAGAGACACTGCCCGCCCACTACACTACCACAAGGATAGTCGAACAGTTATCAACTACAGCCAATGGGAGGCAGTCCCAAAAAATCATGAATTGATTGAAGTTGGATATTAACACCATTGGAAGTTGGCTTAGTGGTCTACAGGTCAAGTATTCCTGTTCATAACTGAATATTCTGGGTTTAAATCTCTGTAGTGGTGTTGTGTTGAGAAATCCCATGTAAGGACGAAATAGTCTTCTAGTGTTCCCGGGTTTTCAATGGTAGTCTTACTAAAATTACTTCGTGATTTGACTTGTTAAAAGTTCTACAATCTCCATGAATCCCTCAATATTATGTAATTACCAGCAGATGTCATTTGTTATAGTCAGGATATAACCATAATTTAATGGATACCTTGATATATTGTGATACATAAGACAAGATTGAAGAAATGGTAACTCTTTGAACCAATTTACTGATTATTGGTGTATATATTCTCAACGAATAACTACTAAGTAACGAGATAGTGACACCAAGAGTTCAACCTGATGGTTATCTGAGTGGATAACGAGTTGGATGTTCGAAAGTCAAAGTGTTGGGGTCGAGTTCCTGTGTAATCGTTCGGTACACTCAGATGACGAGTCCCAGATATGATGAAACGCATGTCGTCTATTTGACTTCTAATCACTATCAAACTTCAATCCATTTTTATATCGTTTGTTTGAATCTTCCCATTGATGTTTAAAACTACAATTGATCAGTCTCTTTTGATATATATATACATCCTGTGCGGACTATTTCAATATTACTTGAAGTCACTAACATTATAAGCGTTTGAAGTCAATAGTACTAGGTTCGAGTCCCGGAGTGAACATCAACAATTTTACGATACAAGTTCCAAATAAGAACAAAACATGTGTCCTGGATTCCACTAATAGCCAACATCCATCTCTGCTTATAACTCGGGTCCAGGGTTTCCTGTCGACTACCTCCAACCACCATCTAATCTCAATATATAGTGCACGCAGTGTCGAGTCATCTAGACTGGTGGCCACATTGCAACATGATCGATAGCATTCGATCTGCACTAATAAGGACTAGACACGCCTGACATTGATCGCCACTCATTGATCAATCAATTGTGATTACATCTCAGCCCTACAGTAGGTCGGTTGCGGTTCGGATAGCTCAGTGGTACCGTCTCTGACTGTAAAGCTGGGTGACACGAGATCGAATCCGCCAGGGAGGACCAGTTCCCTCAAGATTACAGATACACCTTACTGACGAGTGCCAAGTAGCACGAAACCTGGGTCCAGGGTTTCCTGTCGACTGCCTCCAACCACCGTCTACTATCAAAGTTTACTTAGAAAATTTGTTTTATATAAAACAATAAAATTAAAAGTAGGAATTTCCATGGACAAAAAAAATTTTTTTGAAAAATATACTCCACATGTATATGAGTGAATAGACAGAGAGATAGTTACCTAACTGTTTTAAGCGGCGTGAATTAAGCCCTGATCATTAAAAAAAACACAGAAAAAAATTATTACTATTCGTGTGGCATATTTTTTCGCATCCATCCAATTGTCATAGTAACCAATCTAGAATGAGAATGAGCATGTAAATAAAATGTGTGTTTTCAGGGGAGGGGGGAGGAGGATAAGTGATATGAAGGGAAGTAGATATTTCCTTTCGGCTTCTTGCTAACATGAGTTTATGTCACTTTTGTTAGATTACGTGGTGTGTGTGTGTGTATGTTTATGTGTATAAACATTTGTATGTGCATAAATGCATATGGTTATGCGTACATATGTAATATTTGTTGTTTGTTTGCATAGGGTAAGTAAACTGTCGATTATTTATGTATATCTAGAGATTATTTAATCAAATAATCTTACTCTCCATTTAATGTGGAGTTTAATTGAGAAGATTTATGAAACGTTATGATAATAAATTCATGATTATTATTATTGTCTTTATTGATTAACAGTTGATTTATAATCTTCATTTAATGAGTAGTAACCTTAAAATGGATTTAATTCCTGGTTGAAAATTAGTGGATGGGACTCAGTCAGTCTGTCAGTCAGTCAGATACAACGTAGGACCAGGCACATATATGCATCGGTCCAAGTTGCCATACCTCATGAACACAACAAGATGAACACCGGATTCATAGGAGTGGTTAAGTCAATGGTGTTAATATGTAAAAGAAAGATTGCATATAAGGATGTAGTACAGGAAGAAAGAATTAGTTCGTAGAAAGAAAGATATGAAGCGATTTTAATCTCTTAGTTTAAGGGAAGGCAGTGAGTGTATACACCGACGCCATTGTGATCGATTTTGAGCCATGTCACACAGAGTCTCCAACCATTGATTACGATAGTCACGCGGACCCCAACCAAGTAGTCTGCATCTCCCAACATGGCTCAAACTAGAAGTTGGTGACTTCAAGGACTGATGCCACGTTTTGGTTTGGTCACCCCTAACTTTCTTTCAACCATTCCCAACACCGGTTAGCATTGCACATCGTGGTAATCGGTGTACAGGCATACTCAACACGTGTCCCAACCATCTCAGTCTTATATTAAGACAAAACGGTTATCTAATGTTTCTAGGTTTTCAACGATTGTCGAACTTAAATTGATTAGTGATATTAATAATATGAAACAATTTGAGGCAGTCAATAGGAAAGTTTATGGATAATTTTTAAGAAATCGATGATGGTTGTATAGTTCCAATTTGTGTCATTTAACTTCACAATCTGAGACGGTGTCATTGAGTTACATTATTTAATCGATAGAATTCGACCAGTTATGAGGACTTAGACAAACATGATCTTTTTTGTATAGTACTCTCTTTGAGCTCCAGAATTGTTCTTCTGGGTAACATCATAAGTGCTTAATTCAAGTAGAAATATTTGGTAATTATCGAATTCAGATTCAGTAGTGAAATGACTACGCTATATCTAAAATGCGAGAGATCTATCAGTCCAAGTTGCCATACTTCATTAGCACAATAAGATGAACATCAAATTCAAGCAAGCAGTTACTTCTAGTGCTTCCAGGATGTTTAATGATGGTCTAGATTAGATTGACTCATGAATTTAACTATGGAAACGTTACAATCTTCATGAATCCCTAAAACTGATAACTATTAATGATTACAAAATCTGGTTTCCTATTAATTATTATTACTGAAGATGATGGTGGATGTGTCGCTCAATTTCGTGGATTAGTTGAAGGTAGACATTAACACAACTGGATGCCGACCGGCTCAGTGGTCTAGACTTTAAGCGTTCGCGCGTGAGATCGATAGGTCCTGGGTCCGAATCTCGCAGGGGGCGAGGTCGTGGATGCGCACTGATCAGGAGTCCTATACTAGAAAGAAACGACCGTCCAGTGTTTCCAGGTTTTCCAAGTTGGTTTAGCTTCAATTGACTTATGATCTCAACTACTGAAATTACTGTAATATCCGCAAAACCCTTCTGATATTAATCAACATATGCTTACTAGTGACTGGCTTCAAGAGGTATTTCCAGGAGTTCTAGTGAAAAGCCGTGATTAGTGGAGTTCAGCCGGGTCAGTTGTGAGGTAGTGACTCACTGAAGAAAATGGTGGATGTGTCGCTCAATTTCGTGGGTAAATCATTCAATTTATGTGAGAGCTGAGATACTGCTCGGGTGTCCAAACCGAATCAGGGGTCCACACCCGAAGCCTTCAACCTGAAGTTCTATTCCATCAGGTAGTGGAGGAACGTAAAGAGATACAGTCGCATGGTAGCCGGTGACCAATAATTGGTTCATACTCCATTTGTTCCTTCAGGGTCCTGTAACCCAGGTGCAATATTGGTTTGGAATCGGGGTTTCCCAACTCCCCTATGTGGATCCTCCATATTTACTAGCCGATTAAAGTGTCGAACATTTACTTCTCGTTCTCTCCGTTTCGTAGACAATACCCCCACCACGAGAGTGCAGTGAGTAAGACTTCCCTAGCAGTGGTTATATGCGCGTGGCCATGTGAGAGCATTTCGACTAGGGCATTTGGGGGCAAACCGGTAACCATTAACGACTATCAAATCTGGTTTCCTGTTGATTGTTATTAGTTTAGAAAACGTATCTATCTATTTTAAGAAAAATCATTTTTAATTGTATTAACCATATTGTTTTCAATTTATTTATTATTTAGCTGTTCAACGTGCACGAGCTAATACACAAACTTATTTATGTTCAACAACACCATATTCATCTTATCCAGTTATTGCAGCTGCAGCTGTTGCTGCCGCTGCTACCGCTTATCTTCATGGAACAGTAACTAATCCTATTCCTCCTACCCTTACTCCTACTACTCCTATTAATAATACTACTAATGATACTACTAATAATTTTATATTAAATTCTACATTCACTGATCATTACAATAGATCAGATCCAATCAATTTATCAAATGTATATATCCCAACAACTAGTCAATATATGACCACTTTAAATGATAATATGAATCCTTTACCTCAACCATATTATGAACCATACGAGAATACATTGAATACATCCAATATACACTATTCAAAACTATATAATCAGCCTATTTATACAAGAAGATCTATATCAACTCATTCAATGAATAAACCAATAGAGAATATCGTTACATCTTATTTACCATTTCATAGTAATACGAGTAGTAATAATACGTCATCCATGTTAACCTACGATGACCAACCATCCACATTACATCATCATCATCATAATCATCATAATCATTATGCAACACGTTTAAATCTACCACAAAAATCATCGTATGGTTATTATCATCATGATCATGATCATGATCATCATTCAATATCATCATGTTCAACTCCAATTACAATAACTACACCAATTATGACAAATTTTAATCATATAAATATGAATTGTATTCATCAATATCATACTACTAACAATACTACTAATAGTACCACTACTACTACTACCACTACTATTATTATGACTACTACTACCACTAATAATACTACTAATACTACTACTAATAATAATAATAGTAGTAATCGTATAAGATGTGATTTAAATCAAGAATCCAATTCATTTAGACAACCAGATTCATCATCATCATCATCAACAACAACATTAGCATCATTCACATCAACTATACATCGTCAAACTATTCATTCATTTATCATAGATATAAAAAAAACATTAGAAGAATGGATACTTATAAAAGATATAACCTATTCAATAGATACTACTACTAATACTACTATTACTACTACTACTACTACTACTACTTATTCAAATTATAATTATCATATAGAATTAATGAGATTATGGTCAAATAAATTATTAAAACAAACCTCAATTATTTTAAATAAATTACATTCATTTAAACAAGTATGGATTCAATGTTTCAAGAATATAGCGGGACCTTCCAATCCATTTCATCATGAACATGAAGAAGAAGACGACGATGACAACAACAACGACGACGATGAAGAAGAAGATTATTTATGGATAAATGAATTAATTTCACAAATAGAATTGTATGAATTACAAGAATATGAAGTGAAAACATCAATTCAATTAAAAAGTATTACACCAATACCTGATACAACTCAAATTATTATATGTGAATTAATAGATAAAGAATGTGAATTATTATTGAAACAATCATTGCCAACACTTAGTTTAATGCATATTTGTCAAGTAAGTAAAGTGTAAATGAACTTAGATATTAACATCATTGAATGATAATTAGATGGTTGTCTATGGGTTAAGCGTTTAAATGCGAGAACGAAGGTTTTGGGTTCGAACCCCCTATGGGGGATTATGGATACGTGCCACTGAGGAGCCCCATGCCGAGATGAAAAGACAACTCGGGTTTTTAATGGTGATCTACCTAAGTAGTCTATAGGTTAAGCGCTTACACTTGACACCGGAGGTTCTGGGCTCGAGTCTCGTACGGGACTGAGGAGTCGCGTTTAGTTCTTTCAGGTTTTCAATGATGATCTAGCTTAGATCGACTCGTTATTTCACCTGTGTAAAAAACACTTATAATGAATTATTATTATTAACTGGAAAACTGTTCCAAGTCAGAAATCATTACGTTGTCTTAGACTGAGACTCCTAAGTAGTGAGCTAACAATACTTAATTTGGTCTTGAATGTAGAACATAAGGATCCCACAGTGAAAGCTTGATCGTTAGATTGCTAACTATTTCATTTAATGGTTAACATTTCTAATTTCATATTATTGAACAACCATCATATATGAACACATAATATTGATCGCACATCCTAGATGGTAGAACTTCATCATTCATTGGGCTTTTCACTAGGAGCAGTTAGTTACTGCCAGGCAATAAATGAGTTCTTTCTTTGTGTGTGTAGTAAACGAGGTGTTGAAAATTAGATTTTGTAGTTTTTACATCATAATAACATAGAACCGTTTTTTAAGCATAAAAAAAAATTAGACCATTCACAGGGGAGGAAAACAACTGAACAGTTAAGTAATCTGAATATATACCATACTTATCATGATATATATATAGACCATCTAAGGTTGTAAATGGTCATTACTAAGGGAATCTCGAGTAAAATATGAATTAGTTACTAGATATTCTCTAGTTATCAAGAGGTTTTACAATTATTAATGGCGAGAATCATTTCTATGTTTTTCTTCTCTTATTCAGTACTTAATATGAAGATGTATTTAGTATAAGGTATGTTCATAAATTAGTTGAGTACTATGTGTAAACCATAGAGTTTAAATCAATCTATGAGGTTAATAGCGTAGTGGACGTGAACACACGAGTGGGGACAATCGAATATATTTGAATGCAAAATTACAGAACAGCTTAGTAAAATCTGAGAACCATATAGTAAATACTTCATTTGGATTATGTTAATCAATCGCCTTAGACTTCATTGTTCTTTTGTTTCCGAACCAATCATTCTCTGTTTTCATCCTCTTTCCTTCGATCGTTTTAACCTTCACACGTTTCGTCCTATTTAAAACCCATCAGCTGGATGTACCTGAATCCCAGTACTAATATTTACACACTGAAATGAAAGGCAGTCCATCTAAAGAGTCCTATAATAGAATGAAACACTTGTCTTAGATTTCATTTCTTACCATTATCTAATTTTACTAAATATCAATCAAATTCAATTTTCTTTTATTAGTTACCTCCAGTCATTTAAAGATTCACTACATACTTACTTACGCCTATCACTCCCAATGGAGAATAGGCTGCCGACCAGCACTCTCCAACCCACTCTGTCATGGGCCTTCCTTTCTAGTTTTATCCAATTGTTGTTCATTCTTCTCATGTCTATTTCCATTTCTCGGAGTAATGTATTCTTTGGACTTCTTCTTCTCCTTTGGCCGTGGGGATCCCAAATGACGGCTTGCTTTGTGATGCAGTTGGGTGCTTCCATCAATGTGTGACCTATCCGCTTTCAACACTTCTTCCTGATTTATTCCTCCACTGGGATCTGTTTTGTTCTCTCCCATAGTAGGTTGTTGTTGATAGTGTCTGGTTAACGGATCCGAAGTATTTTGCATAGACAGCTGTTAATAAACACTTGTATCTTCTGGATGATGGCTTTCTTAGTTCTCCAGGTTTCCACTTCATTCAGTAGAACTGTTTTGATATTTGTATTGAAAATTCTGACTTTAATGTTGGTTAACAGCTGCTTTGAGATCCAGACGTTCTTCAGTTTTATATGCTGCTTTTGCTTTGTCGATTCGCGCCTTCACATCTGCATCAGAGTCACCGTATTCATCAATCATGCTGTCCAGATAAGTAAACGTTTTTACATCTTCTCCGTCAATTGTGACTGGATTGGTGCATGCTGTGTTGTATCGGAGAATGTTGCATTTCCCTTTGTGTATGTTGAGACCTACCGCTACTGAGGTTTCCGTTACACTGGTCGTCTGCTCCTGTATTTGTTGTTGCGTGTGCGATAGAAAAGCCAGATCATCTGTGAAGTCTAGATCATCCAGCTGCACCTTAACTGTCCACTGCACCTCGTGCTCCCCCCAGATGTTGACGTCTTTACGATCCAGTCGATCACAAGGGGGAAGAGAAAGGGTGAAAGTAAGCAACCTTGTCTTGTCTGTCAGCTGTCCTCCATGTACGATTTTGCATTTTAATCTACCATACGAATTCTGTATGATATTGACTATCTTCTGAGGCACGCCATGGTGTCGAAGAAGCCTCCATAGGATTGTGCTATACAGGTTATGAAATGCTTTCATAATGATATGTACATCAAGGACACACTACTTAACCATTAAAATAGGGGGTTTATTGAGATTGTAGTAATTTTAATAATTGAATTCATGAATTGATCTAAACTAGACCACCATTAAAAACCTGGAAGTACTTGACGACCATTTCATCCTAATATGGAACACCTTAACATTGCGTATCCACGAACCCGCACACAGGACTCTAACTGAAGGTCCTGGATTCGAGTCCTATACTAAGACAAAACAGTCATCCAGTGCTTCTAGGCTTTTAATGGTAACCTAACTTACATTAATTTATGAATTTGACTACTAAAATATTTCACTGATTGAAATCATGAGTCAATTGAAGCTAGACCACCGTGGAAAACCTGGAAGCACTGGACGACCGTTTCGTCCTATTGTGGGACACCTCGGCAGTGCGCACTCACGATCCCACACCCCGTGAGACTCGAACCCAGGATCTAGCAGTCTCGCGCCAGGCGCCCAACCAACTAGACCACTGAGTCAGCAGCCAACGGTGTTAATGTCTATCTTCAACCAATCCACAAATTTGCGCCACCATACACTGCTGAGGAGTCCCATACTAGGACGAAACAGCCGTCCAGTTCTTCAAGGTTTTCTATGGTGGTCTAGCTTCAACTGACTCATGATCTCAACCACTGAAATTTCTAAAATCTTCACAAATCCCTTCTGATATTAAAATCTTTATCAGTTCATCTTTATTATAATCATCATCATAATCATAAATCAGAAACACTATGACAGGATCAAGGATATTTAAAAGAAAATTTCAATTTAATAGATTCAACAAAACATTTTACTTATCAACAAGGCTTGGCAACAAATTACTGTTTGTTCTTGTTGTTGTTGTTGTTGTTAACAGTAAACATTTCCACAGATTTCGCTTCTTTTTTTTAATGATAAAATTTATTTTATTTTTGGTAGTAAAACAGAGAAAAAAAGTAAAGAATCATATCTACATATTGTAGTTATTAAGTGATAATGATTACAGGGGATGGTGATGTAGCTGGTGGTGGTGGTAGTGGAGGAGGAGAGAAACAGCATCTTAGGAATTATAGTTTTGATTAGTAAACAAATTATGTTCAATACACGTGAATATTCAATATGTAAACATGTATGTATCTTTTAATGTATCTATCTCTCTCTTTCTATATATGTGAGTGCATGTGTGTGTGTGTGTGTAGGGGGTAAGTGTGTCAGTGTGTGGTTACCAATGTATATTCACTTCCATGACATCATTGGTTAATATATAAACCAAAAGGAACCATCTGGTATAAGATTCATTCATTGACTTTGAAATCACCTATTTACTATGGATGAATTTATTTTTATGATACACAAAAATGTGTTTCATTGTTTAATTAAATTGAATGAAGATTTATTTAATTGATTTTAAGTATTGTTTATTTATGGTTCATTTTTTTTGAGTAACTATGTATTCAATCGATTATTATGATGATGATGATTTGGGATATAAATCAATAAAATTTCCTATGGTACCGTTCCTTTTTTTTTAAAACAAATTTAGCGTTTTTTAATGGGTTAGTTTTCTACGGGATGTGGTCACTAATCCCATGTCCAACCTCCTTCTTTTACCTGAGGTTGAGACTGTCAGTAGCCTCAGAGGGGATCCACGTGGAGTTATATATATATATATATATATACGAGTTTTTATACGAGTTTGAGGTTGATTGTAATTTTGTAGTGAATATGAATAGAAAAATTGTTTATCGCATTGAGTAATGAGATCAAAATGGTTGATACATTTCTTGTTTCAATCCTCCGCCCGAAATTTCTAGTGTACAAGATCTAGCCGAATACTTACTTATTTACTTGGAGCATAGGCCACTGATCAGCATTCTCCAACCCATTCTGTCCTGTGCCTTCCTTTCTTGTTCTATTCAATTGTTGTTCATTCTTCTCACGTCTGTCTTCATTTCTCAGCGTAATGTATTCATTGGTCTTCCTCTTCACCTTTGACCTTGACGATTCCAAGTGAGGGATTGCTTTGGGTGCTTTTCTCAATGTGTGTCCTATCCACTTCCAGTGCTTCTTCCTGATTTCTTCCTCCTTTGGGATTGGGTTTGTTCTCTCAGCTATAATGCCAAAACTTTATTTATCTAAATGGATGAATGGATTTCGTGCCTTTTTATCTTATACCTGATCAGTTCATCCATAAATGATAGTCTCACCTCATTCAATTGTTATTAATTAACATTAGATTTTGAGTTTCAAAATTATCTCGTGCTATTCTACAAGTACCAATACCGCTGATACTGTTAGTACTTCCAGTAATACTATGATATATTGTCTTGATGATTTCGTAGTTTACTTTGTTGATGTGGTGTAGATACTTGGACTAATGCACATACATTTTAAGTCCTTCATGTTGTTTACAACTGAATATCAGATTCACCTATAAATACTTTGATAATTACTGCTTCATACAAATTAATCTGTAATTGTTTTGTTTTCCTAATTACTTCTATATTCTAGTCAATTCATAATTATCAAACTGAAGAGATTATAATTGAACAGATTAAATCTTTAATCTACTCCATTCATCATCATCCTTCTCCTCCCTCTCATCATCATCACCATCATCCACCTCCTCCTCCTCATCATCATCTTCAACAACAACAACAACAACAAGAACAGCGGCAACGGCGACAACAACAACATGATACTTCCAAATATTACAAACCATCACCTATCACATCAAGTCAGTTAACTAGTAACCGATCAATTACCAATTTTGATATAAGTCAAATTGAAACTGGTTTAGAACAGAAGTCAACTGATACAAATGAATTATGGAGTAGTAGTAGTAGTAGTAGAAGTAAACATAGTGGTAGATCAAACTGGAATAATAATAATAATAATTACATAATTCATAATAAAAATAATAATCATAGTAATTTGTTACTACTAATTAGTAGTATAAGAAGACATAATATCGATTCATTTGAATGGGGATGTATGCGATGTTTCATCTTGTTAAATTCAAGTAAGTTAACTATATAAGTGTTTGTTTATAATTTTGTTTTAACATTTTTGTGAATAAATCAATATTTAAAGATATTCATGACAACTTTGAAATTGGGAATTGATTTCCAGAGGATAGGATGATGATAGTTATGTAATCAATTATACATTGTGGATCAATAATCAGTTAGATGGTGGTTGGAGGTAGTCGACAGGAAACCCTGAACCCGGGTTTCGTGCTACTTCGCACTCGTCAGCAAGGTGTGTCTGTTATCTTGAAAGAATCGGTGCTACCTGGCGGATTCGATCCCATGTCAACCATCTCCACAGTCAGAGACGTTACCACTGAGCTATCCGGGCCACGACCAACCTACTGTAGGACTGAGATGAGTCCAGGGTTTCCTGTCGACTACCTCCAACCATCATCTAATCTCAATATGTAGTGCACGCAGTGTCGAGTCATCTAGACTGGTGGCCACATTGCAACATGATCGATAGCATACGGTCTGCACTAATAAGGACTAGACACACATGACATTGATCACCACCCAGTGATCAATCAATTGTGATCAGTAATCAGTGCTGGAAGTCATTGACTTATAGTCTTAGCTATATGGTAGATATAGACTACTTGGTTGGGGTCCACGTGACTATCGTAACCAATGGTTGGGAACTTTGGATGACCTGGTTCAGAATCGATCATAATGGCGTAGGTGTATATACTCTTTGTTTCCCCTTAAACTATGAGATTAAAACTGCTTTATATTTTTATTTCTATCAACTAATTCTTTCTTGTTGTATTATATCCTTATACACAACCCTTCTTTTATATATTACTACCATTAAAGTTACTACTTATATGAATTCGATGTTCATCTTGCTGTGTTAATGAGGTATGGGAACTTGGACCGATGTATATATGTGCCTGGTCTTACGTTATAGCTGACTGTTTGACTGATTACGCTTGTTACTCCTCATGGAAAAACATAGGCCACTCATAAGCATTCTAACTAATTATCACTGGTGAAAACAATCTAATATCAGATTTAGTTACCCTTTAATAATCCCACTTTCATCTTTCAAATTGAAGAATTCTTCTCTAACTAAAGTCATTTCATGAGATAAACATTAAGTAGACAATATAATTCAGAAACCCTGAATAGAAGGTCTTAAGAATGAGAAAAGGAATGTTAAAGAAGCGAGTTGAAATGAGCTAGCAAAATACTTTACTGGAATATCGTTGTTATGTCCTCAAAGCTTGAGAATATATCATGTAACTGAATCTCCAATTAGAACACTGACTTATTGACCAGGCCAATGATTCATAAACCAGTACGAACAGCCTAGAATCAACTTTGAGTTCTTATTGGTCTTCCGAGATAATAGCTCCCTGTCTAACCCAGCCAGTTTAGAGTAGAACACTAATATCAGCCTCCGCTTTAAGAATCACATATTTCAGACATACTTGGTTTATATATAAACCAAACCAGACTGCATCATACCATAAAGTAGGAAATAACAATTATACAAGATCAAGACAAAAAATGGCTGTGACTGTGAGACTTAATTACTCACTTACTGGCACCTGTTACCCCCAATGAAGCATAGGCCGCCAATCAGCATTTTGAAAGACTATTACTAATAAATTGGGAATAACTTAAGAATAGTAAATCATATCGCAGTGGCTAATAGGTCAAACGGAAATTTATAATAAAAGGAATATGAATATACAGAAAATCTGGTTACTTAATAGTTATCTAATAGAAATATATGTAATAATAGTTCATAAATAGATCCTAACAGTTACCATTCAGTTTAGGGGTTGTGGAAATTGTTAAGTTTTTGATTGAGATCAGCAGTGCTGAGGAGTCCCACAATAGGACGAAACGGCTCTCCAGTGCTTCCAGGTTTTCGATGGTGGTCTAACATCAATCGGTTCATGATCTCAATCAAAAAGTTACCATTCACTTATTCTTCGTCTGGATATAGCAAATGTCCTCTCCAAATCAAATCTCATAGAAAACTACCAATTAATGTTGATTACATTCTTTCTGAGAACCTTCAAGTTTATTCACTTTTTCTATATATATGGATGCGCACTGCTGAGTGGTCTCATACTAGGACGAAACGGCTGTCCAGTGCTTTCAGGTTATCCATGGTGGTCTAACTTCATTTGACTCATGAATCCAACTATAAATATATACATTCAATTGGTATTGTTTATTTGAACCTCCCCACTAATTTTTAGGACTACAATTGATCAGTCTCTTTACCAAGTGAATTTAAACTTCACCACATTTCACAAGCAAGTGGCTATTAGAACTCAGTTGCTAAGTGGATAATGCGATAGCATTTGAAGCGAACGGTACTGAATTCGAATCTCAGAGTGAACACCAAATCCGAGATATAGATACATCCAGCTGACGAGTCCCAAATAGGACGAAACATACGTCCTGGATTCCACTACTAGCCACTATCCATTTTTGCATATAATATCATAAATGTTACACAAATTATAATCTATATTAACTCACCGGTTTAGTGGATTCGATTTTGGAGTTTACAGAGCTGAACACTGGACTAGAATCTAAGTATGAACATCGAGATCCGGGGGGGGGGTATGCATATCCAAGTAAAGTTTCAACTCGGAAAACGTTCGTACCTTGAATTCTTTGGCTAGCCATGATGTAAAAATATCCGAAGACTTGTAATATTATATTTAATATTGAGGCATTCACTCAAGATATACTTTTAATAACAGAATTCAGGAAAATACAAACCCTGATTACAATATTATCGATTCAATGGTTTACATCACGTAACAACCTTAAAAGACGATTGAAAGACATAAATTACTATTTTGAAGTTATTCGGAAATGATCGTTCACAAGCCCCCGAATGCCCTGGTACGGCTGAGAGTGGGGAGAGTCCGCTCACCCTCTCGAAATACTCTCACATGGCCACGCGTATATAGCCTCTGCCAGGGAAGTCCTACTCACTGCCTACTTGCGCCACCGGTGTTTTTTACGAAATTGAGAGGACAAAAAGCGCATGTCCGGCGCTCTAACTGGGTTAGTGGACATGGAGAGTCCACTTAGAGGAGTTGAAAAACCCTCATTCCAAACAAATGGTGCACATGGGCTCCAGTATCCTGAAGGAATAAATGGCGTAGGAATCAATCGTTGGTCGCCGGCTACCATAGGACTGCGTCTCTTTACGATGCTCCACTGCCTTGTAGATCAGACCTTCAGGTCAAGGGCTCGGCGTGTGGCCCCCTAAGAAAACCACCTGCTTCGGTTTGGACAACCGGTCAGTATCACAGCCCTCACACAAATCAAATGAGATCCGTGTGGCGCATATGTATTTGGTGCCCCTTTGTACCAATATTTGTGTTTAAATAAAATAAAAGCCTACAGGAATTCGAACCTAAGACCATTAGGTCCTACACCCAGTCATGATCATTAGAATTCAACAATATCAGATGTAAAGAAGTTGTCTATCAACAGTACTGAACGACAGCTTCACAATATTCAGGAGTTGACTGAAACCAGAATGATCAAATATTAGATAACGATTAAATGATTTAAAGATTAGATACGTTTACTGTAAGATCCTAACACCATAGTTTCGATGCATTCTAGGATTGTGTTGGGGATAATAGATCCCCAAAACTCATATTTTGTAATTTTATCTTATCGATTAACTTATCGATTAAATGTTTGAATGACTGTCGATTGATCAACTTATTGATTAATGTTTAAAAACATTTTACCATGACAATATCGATTATAAATATTTGTATAAATACGCTTGACTTGTGTGCCTGACCTGGTGTCTGCTGGTTGCCTGTAGAATACACTTCTACGTCTTATCAAGACTTCTTGATCGAATTAGCTGAGTCGGGGACTACGGACCAGAATAGCCTGTCGAATCTCTGAATCCTGATCCTACATTCCGTTCCGAATAAGCCGAATCAGTAGTAGCATTCAAGCTTTAACGAACCTAACAGATTGTCGATGCAAAGTCTAATACTTAAACTAATACTTCTTGTTTCATGTTTTACATATTACATAAATTATCATTCAACTCACTTTCTTTTCTTTCATAACTTTCAGGTCTCTTAAATGATTCTTATACTAAATCATTTGAATTATTAAAATATACAATTCATATGATGTTAATCAAACATATAATTCATAAATTAAAACAACAATTACATCATAATAAACAAGTTACCATAGCAACAAACCATTGGATATTGACATATCGTTTAACTCAACGAATTTATAATCTTTTACAAATTTCTAATGAATTAATGAATATACAAATTTATCAAAATACTACTGATAAACATTTAAATTAGTAGTCAGTGAAATAAAGTTAAAAAGAGGTTTTATTGTGTAACTTTTCTTCTCTTTTTATTTTCTTCTTTTTTATCAAAATTGTTTACTATATTACTTATATACTGATAAGTATATATCTATTTTTGTTAATAAATTACGTTTTGAGTAATGATTATCTTTGCTGTATAATGGTATTATACAAGATGTATTTTATGTATAAGGACATTTTAATCATTTACTTACGCTTGTTACCCCCAATGGAGCATAGGCCGCCGATCAGCATTCTCCAACCTATTCTGTCCTAAGCCTTCCTTTCTAGTTTTGTTCAATTGTTGTTCATTCTTTTCAGGTCTGTCACCGTTTTTCGGTGTAATATGTTCTTTGGTTTTCCTCTTCTCATTTGGACTTGAGAGTTTCAAGTGAGGGGTTGTCTTGTGTGCTTTCCTCAGTGTGTGTCCTATCCACTTCCAGCGCTTCTTCCCCCACTAGAATCTGGTTTGTTCTCGCTCGCACAGTAGTTTGTTATTGATAGTGTCTGGCCAACGAATCCGAGGTATTTTGCGTAGAGTACTGTTATCTGGTCTTGGGACTGCCAATAGTCTCAGAGGCGCTCCAGGAGGAGTTACATTATAATCTCTACTCTTTAGTAATAATGATAACCACATAATCCAAAAGGGGTTTTTGTGGATATTGTAGTAATGTTTAATAGTTGAATTCATGATTCGATTGAAGTGATATTACCATGGATACTGATTCGGTGATCTAGAAGTTAAACGTTCACGCTCGAGACTGGGAGATCCTGGGTTCGAATCTTGTGAGACGGAATCGTGGATGCACACTGCTGAAAAGTCTTAAACTACGACGAAACGACCAACCAGTGCTTTCAGATTTTTAATGGCGGTTTAGCTTTGATTGACTCGTGAATTCAACTATTAAATAATCACATAATTAATAGGGAGAAATTTCCCGAGTTACGATTTCAGGAGCTATAGTAAGAAGTTATGATTAGTATAGTTTAATCAGGTTGAATATGAGACAGTAATCCACAAATATCATTGAATGGTAATCGTGAAATATCCAAAAATTGACTGAAGTTAGAAATGTGGACCATTGAACACTGGCTCAGTGACCTGAAGGCTGAATACTTACGATAAAACTTAAAGGTCCTAAGTTGGATCACTGGTGGGATCATAAATGTGCACTATACTAGGACGAAACAGTTGTACAGTGGTTTCTAGTTTTGTGGCCTGCTGTCGAATTTCAAAATGATCCTATTTACTTCATAGATAGTTTGTCGATAGACCCTGTTGATGAAAACATAGGTACAAGAAGTCAAATACGAAGGCATATACGGAACAAATATTTCAAGCATACGATAATGCAAATAAATGACGAGAGACGAAGAGAAACTCATGTGAACTGGATTGGCAGAAATAACCAACTTGACTTAATGATAAATAGAGTAAGTGATCGACACACACATGTATTCGTAGAAATAGTCGAGGATATAAGCGAACAATTGACATTGTCGAAATATATGGATAATGACCAAAGGCCAGAATAACCTATGTACGTGTGACACATAATACTAGACGTTATACTATATTTTCAATGAGGATCTAAGTAAGATTAGACTGCAGTGTAAACTATGAGATTATATTTGATTTCATCGAGGTTTTAGGGCTACTTAGGTAAAATTACGGAATTCTTCCGTAGAATGTAAAAAAACATACATTAAATACTTTATTTGCAAATCTTCTATGAATTGTCAAAAATTTGGTCGTCCCTTGATTGTTATTGCAATTACTCTCTGTTTACAATCCCATTCTCTTCAATTCCATCTCCTAAGCTTTCTGCTGCTGCTGGATATTCCACTTCTGATTGGTGTTATATACTACTTGTATCGACAGATATAAGTAGCATACACCACAATACTAATAATAACTACATCGATATTTTTAATAGAAGTTCTAGGAAAGTGCTAAAAATTACTTGTAATCAACTAACCTTTTCCCAAAAAACTTTATTCACAAGTATCTAGATGTCATTCGGAAGAACGATGAAAGCTCCACGACCAAACCATCCAGCTAAAAGAAAAAAACCCCATCAAAATCATCCACCTGAGCTACAAATCTTGTCCACCATCTCAAAATCATATAACTTTTCGGGTTTCCATAATCTGATTTGTCGAATCTCATATTTACTACTGAATTTACTTTACTTTCCAAAGGCTTCAGGAGTCCAAAGATCATTCTGTTTTCTAAATTTGAACTGATCTTGAATGTAAAGCTGCTTTCATATATCAGACTTCTATTTCTATCGGACTTTATAAGTCAACGGTTATCGGAGTTTAAAAGTCGATGATGTCAGTATCAGAAGCATTGACTGTCAGAGAACTTATCATTGAATAGCGTTACCTCAGAAAAGGAGATAAATCTGAATATCGAGTGTTGACTACTGAACACACAAGCCCAGAGAATCTTACTGATCTTTTTCAACTAACTAACGACTAATCACAATGTATATGATGTCGATTGAACGAAACTAGTGAACACACTAAAGCTTGACTAACATTATTCGATCAGTCCTAAGAACTAGAGGAAAATGGCGCAGGCTAATCGTTCACCACAAGGTTTGAATATTCTGAATTTGATCCCTGATGGACCTATGGATGCGTACTACTGAAATATCCCATACAAGGATGAAACACAAGTTCAATGTTTCACGGTCTTTAGCATTTGTCTAAACAAAAGTCAATTCATGATGTAGAATTGAAGAAAGTTACACTGATCGCTACTATTCTATGGGTTGCCCCAAATGCCCTGGTAACGCCGAGAGTGGGGAGAGTCAGTTCTCCCTCTCCAAATGCTCTCAAGTGGCCACGTGCATAAAACCACTGTCAGAGAAGTCTTACTCACTGCCCTCTCGTACCGGGGATGTTGTTTACGAAATTGAGAGGACGAAAATTATTTTATTTATTTATTTGAACACATAAATATTGGTACAAGAGAGCGCCAATATATATGCGCCACAAAAAACAACGAGAATTTGAAGAGAAATAGAAATATAGAGAACAATAACGAAGAGATTGGTGTAAGATAGTGTTATAATAATAATAGTAATAATGAGGGAACGGAAAGGTACAACCAGAAGAAATCTTTCAGTTAAGGAAGATACAACCACTTTTTACGAAGAAAGTAAAAGAAGGTTACAGCAGGATCGCCACTGGCTTCTATTCTGAGCCATATCTGATAACGTCTCTAGCCAGTGTTGCACCATCTTTAGGACCCCAGCCAGGGAGTCGTGAAGGACCAAAAGAAACCAGCCCTTTGCAGCTTTCTTTCATACCATGACATGATGTAATACACTGACCACCTGTGCTCTTTCCAACCAGTCCCAGAGTCGGCAAATAATGCACGACGTGGAATTCTCTGGGACGACATTCGTAGAACATGTCCAAGCCACCGAAGTCGGTGTTTCAAGATGGTGACACCAATTGAATTATCATCTCTGTGCCCGAACACACGATGCCGAACCTCTGCATTACTGACATGGTGTTGCCACTGGATGTCAGCAATCCTTCGGAGACAACGATGATCAAACACAGAGAGTCGTCTAACATCCTCAACTCGGAGAGGCCAGGTTTCACAAGCATAGAGCAAAACTGCTCTCACCGACGCGTTGTAGATCCGACCTGTTACAGCCAGACTAACATCACGAAGGCGCCAAAGATGGCCCAGATTGGCATAAGCCACTCTGGCTTTCACTATACGTGCATTGATCTCATCACTGACACCACCACCAGCACTTATGCAGCTACCTAGATACACGAACTTCTCGAATACTTCTGTCTGCTCACCATCCAGGGTGAGTACAGGATTAGAATTCTGCCAGTCTTGTAGAAGTACTTTGCACTTCGAAGGTGCAAAGCACATACCATACCTACGGACACTGATTAAGTGCGGATTGCATGCCTTGGGCATTATCGCACAGTAAGACAATATCGTCCGCATACTCAAGGTCGAGAAGTCTTTCTCCAGGCAACAGATCCACACCACCATTACTTACATTCATCAGAGCTGTTTCCAGAATGTCGTCGATGGCAAAGTTGAAGAGGAATGGTGAGATTGGGCAACCCTGCCTAACCCCACTGCTCGAATGGAACAATAGGGAGAGGTGGTTGTATGCCCTCACTCTGCCTGAGGTGTTTGTATATAGGGCTTTTAGGATGTTAATAAACTTCTCAGGCACACCCTTCTTCAATAGACAATCCCAGAGAACAGCCCTGTCCAACGAATCGAAGGCAGCCCTGATGTCAAGAAACACTACGATTGTTGGCCTTTGAAAGTATGGCGGTGTTCTAACATTTGGCGGAGGGTGAAGATATGATCAATACATCCTCGACCAGAACGAAACCCAGCCTGCTCCTCGCGAGTCAATCTTTCTCGGGTTTTGAACAACCTACGAAGTATGACGGAAGCCAATAGCTTGGACGCAATCGGAAGTAGACTTATCCCCCGATAGTTGTTACAGGAACGACGTGAACCCTTTTTAAAGATAGGGACAACTATCGACTCATTCCATGACGTTGGTACACTCTCTAGTTCCCAAACCTTTGTAAACAACATCGTCAATTCCTTAGTCAAAAAGTCACCACCATCTTTAAAAAGAGCCGGAGGTAAGTCATCTGGGCCAGGTGATTTGTAACGCTTCAAGAGTTGGAGTTCCTTGCGGACTTCCTCCTCATTTGGTGGATCAGTCGTCACCGGCCATGGAGGGCAGGACAGTCTGACCGATGTTGCCGGAGCAGCAGGCCAGTTGAACTGCCCTTCGAAAAATTCTGCCCATCGTCCAAGACGTCGATGGATGTTAGTGATTGGCATCCCATCATCCTTGCAGATTGTTTCACTCACACCAGACTTCTTGCTGCCAGTGGCTCGGATGAGTTGGAAGAGCTTCCGGTAGTTACCAGATGCAGCTGCTGCTTCCAGCTCATTAGCACGCTTCGACCACCAGGCTT